AACCCTTTTGGGAATAAGGTTCTGCATACATAATTGGGTAAAAAGTAGATTGATCAATAGAAATTTTCTATCCACTTTACAAATTCTTCCATCCGGAAATAGGAAATAATAAATAACCTTGTCTCAAAAGGGTTTAGACTTAACCCGATTACTTGAGTTTATACGGTAGGGCGAGCTGAAAAAGGTTATCGCTTAGCTCAGGAGAGAAAATTTAAGAATCGAACCAAACTTCATGGTTCAAAATGCCGCAAAATCGAAGTCTTCACACTCTTCACATAACGTTATTCTGATAAAATCAACCATGATGGCACAGCTGAAACTTTTGGACCAATAAAATAATATGGTGGCGTCTTTCTAAAATGTAAATATCAACTCAAGCTCACCGTTTGGGTCATCTATTCCTCGACCGATATATTTTCCCTAATTATTCCATAGACACACTGCCTTCTCCAAATTTGCTGCTATATTAGACCCAAAATGCTCGCTTAAAGCTGTTGCATTTCGAATATATACGCCTACAACATTGTATATAATAGAGAGATGCCTGCTCGACCCAAGGGTTGGTTTTTGATACAGACTTCGCGCCGCTTAAGTGGACGGATAGCCATAGTAATAAATAGAGGCACCGTCAGCTCTTAGACTACTTGACGATGTTTGAATAGTTCTGGTTCTAAAAGGTGGGTATCCACAACAGGACTCGAAGGTATCTTCCAACACCGAAAGCAAGGAAGCCTCAACCTCTTCATAAACTATCCACCAAACGAAAATAAGCACTAGCATTACAACTTCGCGATACCGTGGTAGAAAAGTCCGTTGAGCTGCATTATTGGCATAAACCTTGCATTTATCAAATTTACTACATATAGGTCAAGGCACAAAGCATGAAGTATGAACTGTAAAGTGTAAAAAAAAGCAAGCCTGCATTTCACCAATATCTTAAAGCCACATTATCTGTGAAAGAGCTGCACCTCCCCCATCTGTAACCTCTTCCAAAAACGTACTCCTCAAACTCGCCATATTATCAGCTTCCACTGCCGCGGACACACCGAATCTTCCGCCCAATGTCACGGTAAAAATGCTTTGACTTCTCCTGGCTTCAAATAGCGATGGAGTTAGCGGGCCTTTTGGTCTTCTGTTTTACTACAGACGGTACATGCAAATCAGCTATCCTTAATGCTGTCTTAGATTGGGAGCTCTCTATGAGACTTTCGGGTGTTCGGAAGATACTCGTGCATGCGATCCGATTTGAATTATAACTTTATCCTTTACCAAAAGGTTATTCCAAAAATAGTCCATCTAAACGACCTAGTTTGATTTACATGTGGATATCGTCGTCACGATGTGCATAGCCGTCCCGGCATCTGATAATCTTAGGGGTCATGGCAGGATTTCTTTAACCCACATCGCTAGGGGGATAAAGATTTTTATTAGAGAAGGCACGAGACATGGAGGATAAAAGGATGACACCTTGCAGGGGGAGGTTTTTCTTCCTATGTTTGTCTGTTTGGGAAATAAAATTACAAATAACAGTCGCCGAGGTAAATACTACCGCTCATCCACCAGCCTAATTTTAAGGCTTACAATTCCTCCAAGCTTTGAGACGATAGGTGAAGTGTAGAATAAATTCGATTTTGATTAATTCTTTTCCGATCTGTGAATACGCTGGGAAACCAAAAGAAACTTCTATACATCTCACATTTCCCCGCCCGCCACTTGAGCGGCATCATAGTGCACGGCACTTGACGCATCCAAATCCCCACCACAGCATCCTATATCTACAGTATGAAAATAAATCCTATAACAGCACCACTTCTTTTCCGCATTGACATAGAATGGCTTGAGATTTTTATTTCCCCCAATTTCCAAGCATAGCTAACAAGACCTAGAGGAATCCCAAGTAGATACAGAAGTTTTCCATGGCGGGGGTACACCATTAACCTTTCACCCATCATTGTTGTTTCCCTGCACCCCTCTATCTGGTCTCCATCACATGTCGAGATCACAACGCGTCGTCGACCTTGACGTTCTTAAAAATTGTAATTGGAAGGGGGGACTTCGGGTAGTTGAGCATGCTGCAGAATCTCTAAGCGCATGATGAATACTGAAGAAGGGCTGCAATTGAAGTAATGAAGAACAGTAGCATGGTCGTAAATCTGGTGACCGGATTCTGAAAGGGCGGAAGAGATAACTGAATATCTCAGGGTTAGAGAATGGATCGGGAAATTTGGTTAGAATGAGACGGATTGTTCAGGTATAAACATGGAGGGATTTGGTACGTGATAGATGATGAACTACTAGGTATCAGATTTTCTGGGCAAATTACTTCTGTATTTGGGCATGTAGTAGTATTAAAGAGCAAAGATTTCAGCTGTGAGCATCCTTATACATAGAAATAAGTAACGGAGCTGGTACAGCTGTGTACAAGAGAAAATCAAAGCATTACAATCGTGGATACACATGCAGGACTTCGAAGCTACTCCAGAGGATTTAAGCGGATTTAAAAACTCCATGATCACTTGAGGGAATGCAAACATCAACAGGCAAACAGAACTCTTCCTAGCCCGTAACGCAATCACATTTGGAGATCATCAACTATTACCTCAAACAAAATACAGCACGATGAAGAAAATGTTCGACTGCATGAAGCTCAACTCGCAACGTAATTCTCAAGCCAATAGTGGACTGTGGAAAAAAGCTGAGCCGGCGAGTTATACGACGAGATCGTAGAACATCTCTTTGATGTGACATAGTTGGTATGCAAATGAGTGGCGGGACGTAGTGGTACAGTCTTACAAGAACGAGAACGTTAATCGGCTGTAGTTACCCGCGGCTTGAGAGACCGCAAACCAATTAACTCTGTTGTGAAATGGATAAATATGGACAATGGTCTGTTCATAAGAACTAAAACTACCCGATCATCAAGCCAGTGTGTGCATCAGTTAGATCCGCCAAGGCCTCGAAAAATGCCTCCGGGTGAAAATTCGCCCGCTAAATTCCTTCGGCTGAAAAGTCTTCCGGAAGACATGCAACAAAAGAGTATTGAGGAAACGAAAATGTGAAGCTCGAACCGATGACTCTAGAAGCAACCAAGCACGTTGTTTCGTGTGCTAAGTCTGCATTCGTTAATGAGTAGATAAGTACCCAAGACAAGCGATTGGCTGTTGTTTTGGTCGTTGCCTTTAAGCCGCAAACTATTGATGTGCAGCCGACGATCCGTGATAGATAGTAAAAATCCTGCAAAAGTTTTAGTTGGGGATAATTCCATTGATAAGCTATTGCCAGCTCAGAAGGGATGGGTTCCTGTCCATCCACAAGTGTATAGCTTCTCAAAATGACTCCCTCCAAAAGCTCCGAGCATGCCATTGCCCTTTCACGATAAAGCCTTGTTTTTTGGAATTGTTTCTCCTCAATTGATATACTCTCCATGCAGCGCTGATCTACCATTTTCTGTAATCACCACAATGATGCATGTCCGGCATGTCAGCCCCGTCGGCTTCCGGTCTCCCCTACATTTGGACTTGAAGCTTTTGCCAAGACTTTGCGCGATTGCTTTTCCTAGTTTGTATGTAGTAACCGCTGTTATGTTCGCTTGAATGCCTCTGATGTTTTCATCTCAGGCCTATCGCGAATCCACTTGAAAAATGGTGAAGAAAATTCGTATAGCCAGCCATGCCCTGGGAACATAAATAACCCCGCACTTCAATTGCACCAACCGCTGAAGACTGCCGCAAGATCTCTTGTAGCACTCTCTGTAGAACACTGCCCCCAACATAGACCATCTGGATGTCTGTTGTAAGATATATTACTATGTTCCGCCAAAGATATGCCATGCCTGTTTTGCCGTTTTTGCTTTTTTGCGTGCTTGCGCATGAGATCTACGAGGAAGCGCCCATGTCGGGGATGGGTACGGAGGAAGGATTGGATCGCGCCGTGAGACGAAGATCGGGTATAGAGATATGGAAAGAAGAAACGTTCTCGGAGCTTATGCAAAATTCCGCTTATGTGAAGAGGAGAGAGAAAGCTCCATGAAGAAGTAGTAGAGCTCGAGTCCACCAGGTCCTAGAGGGTCAACGCATTCAAAGTGAAGGGTATATAAACTCATGACGGTGGCAGATCGGAGTAGAGTAAGTTGCAAGCATTACCCTGAATTCCACTTGAGGGTTTGCCGTCATTGACTGATATTGACCCAGGTAGATAATCTTGAGGTAGAAAGAAGCCAGTCAAGAATAGCCAGTCAAGAATAGCCAGTCAAGAATACGCAGTCCGATAGATACAAATAATAGATACTAGGTGGACCGTGCTGCATTCACATTGCATTGGCTGGTCAAAATCAACCGAAGTCCTTCCGCAGAATCTCGTTCAGCTGGTGGGCGCAAAATCCAGCTCTCTTTTGCTCGTCATGTCGCCTTCAAACTTGGCATTTTGATAGCTTGGCAAAAAGCTTGATTCCTTGATTCCTCGCGCCTCCGAATAAAGTTACAACTTAAGGTTACAACGTGGAAGGAACATTTACTTCGATGTGGTAACCTTACAGAACTTTGCGGAATTTTTGAATGCACCTACATAGCACTCCACCCATTTAACAAAAATATAGAAATTCTTAAGAGATTTGATACATCTACATAGTTAGCGCCTTGCTGAAAGATCCCCCAAGGAATCGTGGGGAGCAAATCCGCTCAGAATGGGATGCTCCGTTCTTGGGACAGTTCTCGATATTTCTGTTAGCAATGCTCAACCTTGAGGATCTGCACTCAATGCATTTCCCTGAAATCGGCCAGATTCCGATATCTTGCTTTGATCGTGCTTTAAATCCTACGGAAGCCAATGCAGATAGCCTCTCGTAATGGAAGTTTTTAAAGATATGGTAGGCGTTTAGCGTACCTTCCAGCCTGCATGGCTCGCTGCTTCCTCGATTTGGAAGTTGCATTCTTATCTTCAGTCTGATCCGCACCGCATCTCTTTCATCTCTTTCATCTCTTTCATCTCTTTAAGCAACAGAATTAACTTGCAGTTTTGATCGAGAGAAGAGACCAGGTCTCAAGTCTCTCTGCGATATCATCATAACATTTCTTTCAGTACCATTAGAGTGTTTTCAATTCTTCTATCATATAACTCTTTCGCTGCCATCAAATGGCCATTTAGCCAGAGAAAAGGCATATTCTTTCTATTTCATCGCAGATCGCGAGCGTTAAAGTATCTTCAATCCAGGAGGACCTTCAGCAAGAACCCATCAATATGCTATTCTCTCCTCCCTATATATTCGTGCTTCTTGCCGGGATATTTGTTAATGTTTTAGTTCACGGTCTTTCACCTACCGACGAATATAGAGATGCAGATCTGCAGCAAACAGGATACCTGTGGGTACTTTTCCTCTTTATATAAAGGAGAAACACTGAGTAATAGCTAGATCTAATCATAACATGGACCCGGGAATTATTGACAGCTCATCATTCGGGCAACTGTGGAAAGTTGCTTTCAATTTCCAAGAGCAAGTTAGTACTATCACCATGTTTCCATTCCGATTACAGCACTTTCTTCCGATTTCAGCATGCGAAGTTCGTTGCATTCTGCAATCCTACATACCGAATACTGTGCATCATTTATTCAAACATTGAGATTTGCATGTTTGGACCCCTGCATTTATGTTGTGCTAGTGTACTATCTGGCATGGGGTCACTTTGCGCATGGCATGAGTGATTGCTAATGAATTCAGTTCTATGCTAAACCATTAACTTATACACCACTTACGGGAGGCCCTCAGTTGTTATTCCTTGCATCCAGCCAAAACTACATCAGAACTCTCAATGCCGAAACGGGAGTGCTCATAAACTCAAGACAAGTTCATACCCCATTCTTACAATCTGATATAGGATGTACAGGTATGTTTTAATGTGAAACAAAAGTTAAATGTCACGAAGCTGACCGCTTGCGAGACATTCCCAATTTCATCGGTATTATAGGTAATTAAGAGAGAGATATTTATCCACCCTTTACATCACTAATCAAGCTAAAGGCACACCCATCATTGACCCCGCCACTGATATAGCATATTTCTTCGCCAAAACTTACATACCAAATTATAGAGTTCCAGGTAATACTGGGACGGCGAATGGCGTTTACTACTTTCATGCGGTCAATATTAGTACTTTACTTGACGTATTTCCACCAATACTTATCGATGGTGCAGTTGCAGATAATGCCCCCCAAAAGTATTTCATTGGAGGAGTGATTCTACAACGTCCTTCATTGACACAGGTTGGCAGTGTGGTGTATGGCTCTTTCGGGGGTCATTGTGATCTCTTCAATTACACTGGTCTGGTGATGGGCATCGACATCAATAAAGCCAAGATTATCACCAACTGGGCAGTCGAAAGTGGACCATTAGTTGCGCAGACAAATGATTTACTCCAAGGAGGAGGAGGTGGAGAAGGTGGGATATGGATGAGTGGAATGGGATTGGCGACTGATGGAGCTAGGATTTTTCTTGTAACCGGGAATGGTGGTGTAAGTATCCCCTGTTCCTGAGATAGTATGTCAGTACTGTACAATGACTGACGATTCTAGGCTCATCAAAATCAAGGAACTCCAGCTTCTGGTTCGAGTGGATGTCAAACCTTGGGGGAAGCAACTATCAATCTAGCCTTGGATAACACTGGGGTAATTTCTGTGTCCGATTATTTTCAACCTTACGACTATCAAAACATGGATGCTGGAGATCAAGATTTTGGTAGTGGAGGCATTGTTCTACTTGATCCGACAGTTTTCAAAGGCACAGGTGTGGATAAAATGGCCGTCACTGCTGGCAAAAATGGGAAAATCTACATTCTCAATGCGAATAATCTTGGCGGGTACAAGCTAGGCCCAGGGCAGACTGACAATATCCTGCAAACTATCGTAACAAACGCAGCCGTGTTTGGTGCCTGCGGCTCTTATCCTCTTGAGGGTGGTTTCATTTATTGTACCCCTGTCGGCTTAGCAACATCGGTCTATCAGCTCACATTCACGTCTAGCGGTGTTCCCCAATTCTCTAAGATTGGTCAAACTAATGAGATATCTGCAGGTCGCGTTGGTGTAGGAATTCCAACTGTTACCAGCTTCAATAATCGAATTGGGACGGCCATTCTTTGGATGACAGATCCTGATGCTGGGCTCCGTGCATGGTATGCTGTTCCTCAAAATGGTGTCTTACAGAAAATAAAGATACCACAAATTGGAGGTGCGAACAAATTCCAGCGTCCAGCTTTCGGAGACGGTCGAGTATATACAACAGATTCAAATGGCGTTCTTTATTGTCTCGGAGCACCTGTTAACCTTCCTCGTGAGTGATGTTATGTTCTCACATCATCAAACCTTTTTGTCTGATTGCCGAGAATCTGAGATAACATATGCTAACTCAATATGAAATATGTAGTAAATTGCACTTCGCCAATTGATTTCGGGGCTGTAGCCCTTGGAAATAAGTCGGTTCAGAATGTTAGTTGTACTGCCATTATTGCGATTACTTCAATAAATGGTGCGACCGTCGGGAATGGATATTTCTCAGTCAATAATTCAACCTTGCCGACCGGACCCTTGAATGCGGGTGCCACATTTATATTCCCCGTCACTTGGGACTTGACGAATGTTCAAGTGGGAGCCACGGCGAACACTTCTTTTGGAAATGTATCTCCTGGAATCAAAAGCACCCCCTTGACAATTTTAACGACAAATGCGGTAGCTGGCTATGCTACCCTTTACCCAATAAGTTTGACTGGTACTGAGGTGTCCTCAAAACCCTTCCTGGCAATTGCTCCTACCACCGTGGACTACGGCGGAATTATTATCACGAATACTAGTAATATCAATCCTCAGTCTGCTATTTTCACGATATCGAATAAAGGATTAGTGGCCATGACAATTACGGGGTATGCATACACTGCGGATGAGTTGGATGATAATCCAGTCTTCATCAATAGCACCGTGATAAACGGGGCATGGGACTTGGGGTTTGGATACTTCACTGCAGTAGGTCTTCCAGCGATCGGAAGTCAGGTGGCCCCAAGTTCGCAGATATCTATACAATCCTCTTTTGACCCGACCAATGGAACTGGATCGTATAATTCTTACTGGCAAGTCTGGTCAGATGGAGGTTCAGTCAATATCATTCTTGAGGGTATTGCCTCCACGGCCCCGATAACAAATTTTTCAATTAGTAATGGTGAAGGCGGCTGGCTTCCCCAAGCTAATCTTCTCATGGACTTTGGAAAAGTAGCACCTGGAAGTTCGTCTTCGCAGCAGATACGAATCTGTAATGTAGGAGGTTCCTCGCTAGAAATTAGCAAAAGCAAACCACCAAACGGTGTATTTCATATCAGTGACCCCACTGAACTGCACGAATCACAACAGGTAGCTGTCAATGATTGTGCATATGGAACCGTTATTTTCTCCGCAAATGTGGAAGAATACAATAAGCCAGACCTGCTGCTAAATAATACTTGGACGTTGAACACAGATGATGTTAACTGGGGAGTTCACGTTGTCGAAATTAGTGGCACCGTCATTTCGAAGAAAGTTGGCCCGATAAATTCTACGACTGGACAAACAATTTATAATTACCTCGGATGTTTTCAAGAATCCACGACGGGACCACGTCTATTTCCTAATCAAGGTTACACTCCTAATACAACCGCCAATGATAATAATATGTGCCAGGAAGCATGTTACGGACTGGCACAATACAGCTTCGCTGGTACCGAATACACGAGCCAATGTTGGTGTGGAAATACTCCACCTCCACTTGCCGCACAAGATGTTACTGATGCGTTGTGCAATTTTGCTTGCCCCGGTGATTCTAATGATGCTTGTGGTGGGACTGGTTATATTTCAGTCTTTTATAATCCTACAGAATATGTCGCTGGAAGTGATCCATCACTGTATGGTCCTAAGACAGTCAGCAGTGTTGGTAATTACAATTATCTCGGATGTTACAGTGAAGGGACAGCTGGTCGTGCCTTGGCCGGTTTGAGTCCCCAAGCACCGCCTACAGGATTCACGATCGAGTTATGTGCTGCTGGCTGTCAAGGATTCACATACTTTGGTATGGAGTATGCCAACGAATGCTACTGCGGTAATCTGATAGGTGTCGGTTCGGTCAACCAGAGTAGCGGTACTCCAAGTATCAATGGTTGCTCTATGCTTTGCAAGGGCAATGCGAAAGAATATTGCGGAGGACCGGGAAGGCTGGATGTATATATGCTAAACACCGCTAGCTCGAGTACTACTTCATCAACTTCTACGGCGCAAACCACATCTACCTCCACATCCCCTTCATCATTCTCAACATTATCTACACCCTCAACGCCCTCATCGACTTCATCAACATCAGCTATTCCCACACCCACAGGTCCCATCACAGTGACAAATGTCCCCGGTTATGATTATCTAGGATGTTACAGCGAGGCAACCACAGGCCGTGCTCTCTCTGGTCTACAGCCCGCCCCTCCAGTTGGTGGTTTCACAATAGAGTCTTGCCAAAAGATTTGTTCCGGGTTTGAATACTTTGGAATGGAATATTCTAATGAGTTAGCCCGCCCTGCTCTATCTTGCCTACCGTGATTACTTACCTGATTTAGATGCTACTGTGGTGCCACTATAAACGCAGGATCTGTTCTTCAGGCTGGCATAATACCCACTATAAATGGATGTGATATGTTATGTGCTGGTAACGCAAGTGAATACTGCGGGGGTTTGTCCACCTATCCTATCCTACTCAGACCCCACAAAAGCAAACATACTAATCCATCCGAAACAGGTGGCTCTAGACTTAATATGTACCAACTCAACGGCACTACTTCGACACCCCCTACAGGACCTATTACAGTTACAAATTTAACAGGATGGAATTATCTAGGTTGCTACAATGAATCTACCACCGGTCGTGCATTGAGTGGCCTAGAAAATCCAATTCCAGGTGCGAATAATAGCGTAGAGGCTTGTTCTACTGCTTGTGCGGCCTGGACTTATTTTGGGGTTGAATATGGTGAGTTTGGAACTCTTAGCCGCACATAGAAGGAGGATTTTTTACTTGGGGCTGGATTTGATAATAGGATGAAAGCAGAATGGTGCTAATGTTAAACATGTAATTTAGGCAGTGAATGTTATTGCGGCAACACGATCAATACAGGCGCGACATTGCAAGTTGGCACAACGCCGAGTGCCACAGGATGTAGTATGATTTGTAGGGGAAATGGGACGGAGTATTGCGGGGGAAGTTTGAGGTTGAATTTGTATCAGGTTCTGTGAGGAGGGATTGCGGGGAAGGGCTGAGCGGTAGCGGTGGAGAGGTGATATTTGGGATGAAATTGTGGTGAAAATTTAGAGTGAGACGATGGGATGGAAAGGAAAGGAAAGGAGGGATAAATTTCTTTGCTTTTGAGATCACGGTAATATGCATCACGATTTCTACAACGGAACTGGGGTATACTTGCCGCTCGACTCCAGTTGATGACGATCTTAAATTACTTTTTTCTACAGAATAGATTCGAAATCTGATAGCTAGCGGGAAGCGGCAGCATTAACTGGAGAAGGATAGGGATTTGCGTTTGCATGGCTTATCTGACTATTCAAACGGGACTTACTGACTGATGGAGAAGTGGGAAAATCCTTAGAAGTTTACCTAGTGAAACACGAAATGCATCTTTTTGGAAATGATATATGAGCAAGCAAAAAGACTTCGATCGAGCGGGGTAATTTTATGTTGGGTGTGAGAATATAAGCAATTAGATATTATTTGCGCACAAGGTGGGTGCGGAATTAGTGTAAAATAGAAAAGATTTAGTGAATTGCGGGTAAATTGAGCACGGACCTCATAATGATTTATATCGTCTCTTCCCTGTGATTTTTCTTGTGATATTTATTGATTGTGCCTGAATCTTGGAATCAAGTGAAAATGCCATTTGGATTTCTAAACATAAGATATTCACACTCCATGAGGCCGCTTCCGAGTTTCTGGCTTTGTCTCGATGAACTGGCTCCGCAAGGGGTGGTATAGTGGTATACTTAAGGAGGAGAGGGATGTGATGGAGGGGGTGTATCTGCTTTATCATGATGGACATTGGAGGGCCTTGTGGTGGAACTGGCTCATAAGTTGGCTTTGCCGTGATATGTCGCCCGCCATGGGGAGGCTGGATGGGAAACTAATAAGTGGCATGGCCATGCGCTGTTGTAAATAGAGACTGAAGTCCCAGATCTGGTATTTGTCTTCAGATTACAAGTGCGGAACATTACTCGCTCGCTTAAAACACATGGTTGCGTTTGTATTCGTAGCTATCAAATCTCAAGCGAGATCTTCGGATCCCATTCCAGCTTTCTAAGGTGAAATCCGGTTTCTGTCTTCTAAAAATTGTGTTAGTTGGAAATGCATTCACCATTCATTCTACATGTAAGGGGGATGATGAAAGTGGCTCTGCAGCAGCTACCCGAGGGAAGAGGAAGCTTTCTTCCGTGTCGATATTCACCGTGGGAATCTGATGTTTTCAGCTTTTGAAGCGGAGGTTTCTCCTTCGAGTCCCGCCAAATATCATATCTTTCAACCTTCAAACTCCAAGCTTCAACCTCACACTTCTGACTTTCAGCCTCTAATCTTAAACCTTCAATCTTTAACCTCTAATCAATCTCGAACATTCAACCTCATACTTCTGATCTGCAATATCTTCAATCCTGTCTTTTCGATACAAAAATCTCTACTACTTCCTCAGCTGCTGAGCTGAAGCAGCTGATTTTAGCTCTTCAGCACGAAAATACCACCAACTTGAATGAACATCATTCTTCGGTCTCCTATCTACTATCTCAGCCTCATAATTTGCCCGGGTGACCTTTTCGATTATCAATTTCTAACCTTTCTCTCCTCAGCTTCATCCCGAACTTGATTTATACGGGTCCTCCCACAATTAACGATCTTATCATCAATTTTTATTCTCCGCAGTCATTCTTCTATACCATCAAACACACAGGAATAATGGATCAAACTCCGCCAGATAGCAGTCCTGCGGTAGAGATTGCATTTCCATCTAATTTAGACCTCATGCTGGGCTCAGAATCTCAATGGAAATCAGCCAGCATGTCTCCTGAGACACCAAAACTGAGGTCAAGATTCAATAGTACAGCTCAAACTCGCATCAAATCCGAAGAAGATGAGTTGGAAGAAATCGATGCTGTCGTATGGGCTTCCTCGCCAAGATTTAAGTCTACCGAGAAAGGATTAGGGCAAACGCAACTCAAGGCTGAAGATAGTGAGCTGGAAGAAATTGATGCCACAGTTTGGTCTTCTTCGCGTGCAGGATCTGCAGCACAAACGCCACGCAAGCGTCCGAGATCACATTCTGTGTCTGCGTCCGTGATTAAATTGGAAGGAGACGATGTTCAACCAAAAGTCGAATCTTCAGAATTTCCATCTTCAGACGAAAGACGGAGCCCTCCAAAGCGTAGAAAATCTCTTTGGGGCAAGAGCATTCCCTTTGATAGGAGAATGCCTCATCACACAACTTTTCCTGAGTTTTCACATGCTGCGGAGTTGATGGACCAGACAAAATCTTTTGGCACCCCAACACCAGATGATAAAGATTCTAGTAACGGAGAAACAGGATATGAGTATAGTTTGGAGAACAGTGATTTCAGCGATGTCGAAGACGATGAGACTATGCCTTCTGTCGCACCAGGTCCTCTTCCTTCCCAGAAGAGGAGAACCCGGGAGAAGTCCATGAAGACTTCCGAAGAGTGGTTTGCTCGTTTCTACCGCAAAAAGGCTAAATTTCAGAAGAGACAAAACCACAGAACATTTGCAAATGATGGAGCAGCTTCAAAAATTCACAATTTTTTGAGCCACGACCCTATTTCTGCCCACAAAGAGAAGCCTGCCGAAGAGCAAACCACTGACATCGAAGCATCTTCGAAAAGTGATTACTTTGATCAGGTTCTTAGGAATAGTCGAACCGATGGGCGCATGCACAAGTGTAGAGGCGATAAGACTGCACTGAAGATTGCTGGCGAGAGCTTTGGCCGGGCAAATGTGAGGTATCGGAACGAGAATACATGGTCTTTGAAGGGAGTAAAGACAGGTAAATATTCCGACCAATCTACCATACTTTGCACGATTTGACATATGTTTTTGCAGCTCTATATCATCATCAACTCCTCTGTGCTAGCTGGATGTTGGGCCGGGAGTATGATCCGGACGGTTCATCGGGAGGTTTCAACTGCGATGTGATGGGTCTTGGTAAAACATTGGAGATGCTTGCCGTATGTAATAAAACTTCGTATTATTAATCTTTTACTGATATTTGGCAGACTATTATCGGTAACCCTCGTCCTGAAGGTGCAGAAACGTCAGGGATAGGCCCCACTCTCATCGTGGCTCCCTCCAGTATTGTAAGTTCGAATGCAGGAGGTTGTTCCGGATACTAACGGTTAGAAGTCCGCACAATGGGTCTCGGAGATAGGCAAACATCTTGCGGATGGTCGCTTGAATGTGATTCTTTATGCAAAAAGCCAGAAGCTTTCTAAGAACACACTCATCAAAAGTGATCTGGTTGTAACTTCTTATGATCAGATGCGAATGAGTTCGCCATTTCCACCACCCTCGTGGCTCTTAAACATAGCAACAAAGTTAAAGGCGAAAAATTGCACATTAGATGAACGGCAGTCTATCGAAGATTGGATCGATAACAATCGCGAACAGTATGGTGAAGTTTTGCATAAAATTAATTGGTATCGAGTAAGTTCCTAAGTCTCCTCGTATTACTGAAAGTCATGCTGACATGATTATTAGATCGTTCTCGATGAAGCTGTATGTAATGATCACTATGGTTCACGAGGCTTTCTGACAGATATAGCATCACATTAAGAATCACGAATCAAAAACTAGTTATGCGGCGAGTGCTTTACTTGGGAAATATCGTTGGCTAATGACAGGCGTAAGAGATACCTCCAGACAATAGTCACGCATTGAAACTAACCTTCTGCAGACACCCATGATGAACAAACGAACAGGTCTAATTCGCTTTCACAAAAGGCTCTTTATGCTGCTGACCATCGCTAGAACTTTATTCATACTTTCGCTTCTTAAAACACGCGAAGACATCATCTCTTGCAATGTTCGTTGAAATATTCTTTCTTAAATCAGTGTTATCTAATAAATCTACAGATTTAAAAGAAAGTATTGCGATCACAATAGTGTATGTTCCTTTACTCAAAGAACATTATTTGTGCTGACATTACATTCATAGCCTGCCTGCAACAGCCGATTAGACACACTATTGTCTCGTCTAGTGATTCGGTAAGTGTTATTCCCTCGAAAACATATCCCTGGATCCTGAAGATAATCTTTAAAATGTGCGATAAATAGGAGATCTATGCAAGATCAGATTCTAGGGAAAGAACTAATTACACTGCCTACCCCGCACAAGGAGAATGCAACTGAATCCTTTCGTGTGGCAACTCAGAATTTGTATCGCGCAGTTGAATCGAAGTTCCGACTGATCATAGCCCAGCAGAAATTTGAAGAGGATGACCCCCGAAACAAGATGAAGTATCTTATAGTAATGATTTTGCGACTACGACAGTGAGATTTCCCCTGTTTTTGTTGATTTTCGTTCGCTAACGTAGTAGGTTCACCGCGAGTCCCTTAGCCATCGAGCCACAAATAAAGGTAACTAAATGACCAATCCTAATGAGGACTTTACTAACTTCTTATAGGCTTTATTCACAGCTGGGGAGCTTCAGAATTTACGAAAAGATATGGAAGCGACGTGTCCTGCTTTATATGATCGTATGTGCCTCAGAAAGTTAATGATACCTAATCTAATCTGCACATAGGGATGGGTGTCTGGATCAACAGCTTAAATTCTGGTCACCGCGGACCTTTGATTGGTAACGAGGTTCTCGATGTACATATATGTGAAATTTGCAACCAAGAAGCAGATGACCCCCGTCAAGTCCGCAATTATCGTAAGGGTCGTAATGGCCAAAAGAGCTGTGATCATATCTTCTGCGAAAGTTGTATAGAGGTTAGCATTAATGCACAAGTTGCGAGGACCGATGTGAGTACTAAATGAGCACTTCAATTGGAACTTCAACCTGCTGACAATCTGTAGAATATTGAGTGTCCGGCCAATGGCTGTGGCAGAAAATTCAACCCCGATCGCATGCTATCACTAGATTCATGGTCTACACGACCTGAGGAGGACTCGAGTATGAAAAGGGGACGGGATGCATTGGATTTTTCACCAAGACTGAGTGTCAGATCTGAATGGCTCGAGGAGTTCAACAAGGGAAATGCTGAGCTCCCTCACACCCCAAAAGTGGAAGCTATTAAACGAAAACTTCGATCATGGCGCCAAGAGGCACCTTCAGACAAGATTGTGATCTTTATCCAGTGGAAATTGATGATGAGACTCATCGGGATTATGCTCGAGGAAGAAAATTATCATTTCTTATATTATACTGTGAGTCAAAAGCCGGCATCTTCAAAACTAGGTTTGCTGATAAGTTAAAAGGGTGAAATGAATGGTGAAGATCGATCTCATGCTATACGTGAATTTGAGACAAACCCAAAGATCACAATACTTATAATTGGCCTCAAGGTTGGTGGAGTGGGCCTGAATCTCGCATTTGCCAATCGCGCTATTATGGTGTATGTTTATTTCATACTTATGGTGCAGACCTGATAATGAATGCTAACATACATATAGTGATCTCTGGTGGAATGCTGCGACGGAATCTCAAGCTAATGGTAGAATTTTTCGAATTGGTCAAGAGAAAGAGACACATTTCGCGAGATTTATGATGAGAGAATCAGTTGACATTCGATTGCTTCGTAGTAAGTTAACTACCATGGGATATATAAACATCTAAGCTGATATTCTTCTTAGTGCAAATTTTCAAATCAATTATCATTGATGGAACACTCGAAGGTAAAACACAATTAACTTACAAGGAAGCTCTCTCATTCTTAGGTGAAGTTAAGTGGGGTAGGTTCTAATCATTCTTTTTTATTTTCAATCACCTTGTTGACTTTACTTGGCAGGCGATAATGGTAAATTTAAGATTATTGATGATTATAAAAAGCTCGAGGAATGGCTTGACGACTGGTTGAACAAACAAAAGAAAGTTTAATTTCCGTTTGGGACTCAGAGCAACCAACGTTGATGAGGAACTTCCAGACCGTTGGTGTAGAGACAATTCTTACTATTGTCTGATCGACCATTGCTTTTCAGCTCTGCAAGACATTCATCATAACTATCTCCCCTCGTTTTCATTCTCAGGATGTCCTAGGGATTCTCGTTGGATTTCTTGGCGAGCAAACCGGATGTCTCGATCTCTCGCAAATCGTCAGTTCAGTATCAACCTTTGCAGCATCGCAACAAAGACTTTTATGTCCTCAGCAACATTACCTATCACTATTTCTACGACTCTCAAAGACTTCACGCTGCATATCCAGTCGGCCTACATGGACACATAAATTGCATATCTCTTTTCATTATCCGCAGAAATCTATCTGAAATCAACAACAAGATAACAACAAATTCAAAATCGGTATCCTTCAAGTTCTTCCGATCAAAAGTTTTTGCCCCTTTCTTTCATCAATATTCACCTCGCGTAGCGAATCCCCACTTTCATCTCCATTATATCCTCACCTCACAATTTTTCGCTGTCATTATCAATACTCGTTCGCCACTCCCTACTCAAAAGCAATATTGTCTTCAAGATTCGTCAATTCCTACTCAGATTGCTTGCTGTCATCCGACATCCGCATCCATAGTTCCGCATCTTGATTTTCTGAGTTAGGAAAAATGAATGAATGAATGAAGGGACAAATGGCCGGTTGGCTACCCAGAAAAATCTCTCAACATAAATAAATGAATACAGTACACAAATAGCATTTGATAATCACATAATAATTTAAAACATGACCATTATCTATTCCTTTCTATAATGAAAAAGTAACTACTGTTCCCTCCTAACAACATCCACTAAATTATATATGAATCAGACTATATAAATATAAATGCAAGTATAAACGAACATTTAACTAACAATTTCCTTGGAAGTTTCCGAAAATCATTAAAAGTAAAATGGACCGAAAGGAAACTAGTAAATTTTAGTAATCAAATTAGAGTTTTTCCCCGCAAATTCAAGCCCGTCTAGGAAGGAGTTAGAAAAGTGGATTATCATAATGATAAAGCTATGTTATGCACTGTACTAAACCATACCCCTAAGGGTATGAAAAAACGCTTTCATTTATAAGCTGTATGCCATTCCTGTAGTAGCCTCCATTTCTGAGTTCTGTACTTTCTGGATGCACGAGTTGTTACCAAGTTTGTTGGATAGTGCGTTAAGTAAACCGTTAGCTAGTCACTTACCTAGCCACTTAGCTAGTCACTTAGCTAGTCACTTAGCTAGTCCACCACCAAGTCCACCACCCAATTCCGCTAACTAACCCATCCGTGCGCCCCGTTAATCCGTTAATCCGCTAATCCGTTAATCTGCTAATCACTTGATCATCCAGATATAGTATATATCTTTAACTTCTCTTCCTTTCTTTCTTCTTCTCCCTCCTTCTTTATTCTTTTTTCTTCTTAATCCTCTTCTTCTATTCCCATTTACCTCTCTTTTTTCTCTCTCCTCCTTTCCCCTATCCCTCTCCAAACTACCTCACCTTTCCCCTCAGGAAATCCCATTATCAAAAAACTCACGAACAGAGGAACAAAAGAAGGAAAAAAAATCAAAAAACAAACAAACAATATCTAGGTAAATGTATACCACATTAACAAGAGTCAATACACCATACCCACTATACACACAATCAACACCACATACACAATCAAAACAATACAACCATCACATCACATCACATCACAAATCAAACCAAATCAAAACCCCTCAAGAGAAAGTAAATAAGCGAAAATCAAAAATGGTATCATCATTACTACTTTAATATATCCATCCTCCTTTTTCCCTCTCCTCCCCCCTTTCCCTTTCCCTTTTCTTTTCCTTCTTATTCCCCATCCAGCAGCCACCATTCACCTATCCTCACCCTCTAATCAATAATCCATGCAGTCCATATTCTACCAAGTCCATACCATCCATTCCCAACCTATCCAATCCCCATCATATTCCATTCCAATCAATTCCATTGCTTTGCTATCCGTCCTGTCCTGATATATGATATCAACCAATAAATCGATCCTCCTCTCCCCCTCCTCATTTTTCCCCATCCGTTTACCCCTCCTCTTCAGCCACCATCCTGTCCTATCCTATCTCTCCCTATCCACCCCGCCCCATCCCTATCCCCATCCCCATCCCCATCCCCATCCCCATCTCCAAACCCGAAATAATTAACCCACCCCTTTAAATAAATAAAATAATGTAATGTAAAGTAACATAACAAAATGTAAAATAAATGTAAAGTAAATGTAAAGTAAAAATAAAATAAAAATAAAAAGAAGAAATGTACTTGTGATCCATTCACCATTCACCCATTCACCCATCACCAACCCATCATTCACTCACTCCCACCAATTCACTCCTCCCCACAAAAAATTCAATCCAAACCCATCCAATCATATCATATCTTATCCCATTCACATACTCATCCAATTCCAGAGCTGGAATCCTGATCTGAATCTTCATCTGAATCTTATTCATCCACATACATACATACACCCAATATCCAATATAAAAATAATCTTTTCTCCGTTTCCTATTCCTATCTTCCATTGTCATTCACACCAATCTGCATTACACCATATAAAAATCGCATCCAATCAATTCATTCCACCCTCGCATCACAAAGAATCATATGATTAGTTTCACCCTGGCCCCTGATGACAGCTATGAATTTTGAGATGGAATCCTTCCAAACACATCTCAAACCTTTCACGGGGGTGCATACTTTCAGAGGAAAAAGGCTGACATGGAGCTGATGATTCATCATGAAAACTATTGATGAATCATTTCAAAGCCATTCGAGTAAGTCGTGAATAAATTGATCAGGAGTAGGCCCATTCTCCACTCCTCCATATTTATCAAAACTCATTGCTTCAACGCGTAACTCATCGTCGACTGGAATCTCCGTAAATCACACTTCAGCGTTCTCTCCCCAACATTCCTTTCATCAACCTCTGTCTCATTTCTTCGCCACCATCAAAAGGTCCAGCACTACCAGCAGCCCCATAACTTCCACTTCCTGCCCTATTGACTCTTAATAAATCATTCGCACCTCCATCAAACGCATTTCCCAATCCAGAACTCGTGCCATAAATACTATTTGTATTTGCACTACTTCTCGAACTACCACCTAGATTATTCATATTTGTTTGACCATAAGGAGATGCGGACGTATGGCCTAAATTAGGAAGGTCAAGAGTAGGTAGGTCAATGTAGGCAGCGTCCGCGAATTGATTATAGGATTGTTGTTGATGTGTTGTTGGGGTAGAACGAGTATAAGAGGGAGTTTGATTTAGAGCTGAGGATTTATAGTCAGGTTGAGAGTAGGACGGAGTTGTGGTAGAAATAGAAGTTGTGCGAGGATTGTAAGATGCTTCGGGTTGTGAATAAGTTGGTGATGGATTTGCTAGAGACGATGAAGTTCGGTACGAAGTATCGGCTTGAGAGAAAGAAGGTGATGGTTGAGCTATGTTGTGGGGACTAGCAGTTCGGTAGGCATTTTCTGCATGTGTAAATTGAGGTGAGGCTTGGCTCATGGTACCTGCTCGGTAGCTGTTAGCCATCTGAGGCGATGGTTGATGAGCGCTATATCGTTGATTTGGTTGATTTGAATTCGAAGGATACTGTGAGACATAACTAGTAGCACCATGATTTGGGAAATAGCTATTCGAAGCGTTTCTCGAAACATTTTGTGTCATCTTCTGAGTATCATCTCGTGAATGACTCTGTTGGGATGTTTGATGTTGCATTTGAACTTGCTGAGGTTGTTGAGAAGTTTGCAGATTTATTTGTTGTGTGGTTGATTGAGGGATTGATGAAGATTTCTGATGTTGACGTCCCTGGGGGGTAATTGTTGGAGTAATACTTCGTCCATTCTGTTGTCCAAGATCTTGAAATCGAGCATAATGGGCTTCTAGTCCATCAGCAGGTCGAGTTACAGGTGTACCCTGTTGTGATTGTTGAATGTTTTGTTGTATGCCTTGTACTGAAGTGGCCGGGGAATCTGGAATAGAGCTTGGTGGTATTGGAGGTGTCGCATTACTGACGACCGATGAACCAGTCTTCTTACCAGTAACGGGACCATTAGCTCCAGGAACCTTTGGCTTTCGTTGTCGTTTCGGAGGTGGTGGAACAAGAGTTTCAACCATAGGAGGTACAGATTCCCACTGTACAGTAGAGGTATCCTTTTGCACAAGGGGGCTTTCAGCTGGCGCAGGAAGAGGGCTAATATTCTTAGATGTATGACCGGTTTGTGGTTGTGATCCTGAAATATTTTGAGATTGCGTCATCGAAGGGTTCTTGGGCTTATTAGGACCACGTTTTCGCTTTATACCACCAGCTGTAGGAGTGCCATTGTTTACTGGAGTCGGTTGAGTCGAATTGAAACTATCAGAACCTCCACCAGGTGCTTGCTCGTTCTGAAATGCTTCGATTACGGCACGCTCCTCCGGACTGTATTGATCCGGCGGGAGAATAGAAGAGGTATGACCGGTGTTCGAGTCTGCGTTCCAATGCTCTGCCGAGTATGTGAGTTGGGGCTGGCCACTCTTGTTGCTTATGTCTGTAATTGGGACAATTGGGGATTCCTTCGCCGTGTTAGGTTTCTCAGCTGTCATGTTCGCCACCGCGGCAGGTTGTTGTATGTGTTGTTCCGATGGGCCTGGTTCTGATGTGGAAGCATCAACACTATTCATTCCTCCCGTGCTCTCACTTCTAGTTTGTACTTCCTTTCCCTTATTCCTAGATCCTTTGGGTCTACCTCTCCTTCGTTTGCTTGTAGATTCGGTATCAGGAGCAAGGTTATCAATGTATTGTTTGAGGGGAGTGGCGGGTCGCTCTGACTCGGCCTGAACAGGTCGACTAAAGTTAGGACTCGCAGTAGAAGCCGATGGAACTGCAGCTGCAGCAGGTATTGGTGGAGCTGCCATCGGGGGTGCGGTATTAACTAAAGCTACAGATTGAGGCAATCCCCAAGTTGGGGCTTGAACAGCTGGACCAAATCCAAATCCGTTTGCTGGCCCTGGAGGATCAGATGTACCATTCTCTGGACCTTTTGAATCTCTCGGTGGTCTTCCACGGCCTCTTTTCCCTTTGGCAGAAAGTGGTTCCTGCATCTTCGGTGCTAGAGGTTCTGGTGCTGATGAAAGATCGGGAAATATTTCTGCCAGCCATCCTATAAACAATGCCCCAGTCTCTCTTGTATTCGCACTTTCAGGAAAGATACCATCTTCTGGTGGCGGTGCACCAGGTATACCACCAAAATATGCCACGGCTTTACAAACCTGATCGACGACCGTGACTGGATTGATGCTCCTCAATAATGTCAATAATCGCGCTTGCTCATATTTCGTCTCATCCGGAGTTAGCGGCCTCGCACGTTGTTTGTGATCATCTCGTGAACCAAAGGGAGATGCGCGATTCCCACCTTCATTCTTCGCCGCGTCGAGTCCTCTCTTCTTCGGAGGAGCGTATTTTTCATTCGCAGCAGCTTTCGCACGCGAGGCGGTATTCTCACTCGTTCTTCTGGCAGCAGCATCACGTTCAGCTGCAGCATCTTTCCCCGGTGCCTCTTTCTTTCCTGGCGTACTGGCCGCCATATGCATCACACCAAAATTGCCCTTTTTATTATCGGTCTTGCCTTTCAGCTTAGATGGAACCGGATTACGAACTCTTCCGTCCTTGTTTGGACCTAAAACCCCGTCGAGTATGGGATTCGAATTCAATTCCACCAGCTCCAACGCGCCAAAGCCACCTCGAGGCGATGATGATGATTGATCTTTCTGGAGTGTTTTCGCCGGTGCAACCGTTGGAGTGATCTCGGTAGTATTCTGACCTGAGGTAGGGCGCGATGATTGTGCCATCGAATTATTGGGGGTGGATGTAATGTCGAGAGAGATTTTACTAACTAGATTCGCGTTGGGCGTCTGTATTTTAGAATGGAGCTCGGTCGCATTAACTGTATTGGTATCGACAAATTGATTGATACGGAAATGCCCAAAGTTGCCTTGACCTGTAATAACTGAAGAAAGGCTTGAAGACACTGTTGACATTATCGTGATTGAATTGAAGATACTGTCGCCATGATCATGACATCTGTCAGTTTAGTTGTACAAGTAATTAGATTTTGAATAGGTCGGTAGATCTTAGAGGTTGGCTACTTTGGTATGGTTTAGTTTATTATAGTTTACTTTTGGTTTGGTGCTTGTTGTGAACCACGGGATCGCGTCTAAATAAGCTATGGCCCCCGAAAAAGGTGAGTACGTAGTGTTTACTAGGAGGGAGGGATGGATGGATGGATGGATGGATGGATGTGACTTTCCCACCTGTTTACGAGGCAAGACAAAAGAGAGAGTAGGTAATCAGAAAGTATATTTATCTACCCCATCATTGAAACAATTATTGTGGAGTACGATCAAAAATATATCTTCATTTTTATCAGTACTATCTAAGGGAGTGTTAGGCCATTCCTCATTCAGTCATCCTTTTATCAATTTTTATGATTACAAGTACATGCGAGAAGTACTACCGGTATTCATTAGGTACCTAGGTATACAAATATACCTGCTACTTCTACACCTATCATCCAAACTCCCTTTCCATTTCTCACACAACAACCTCCTCTATAAATATCCAACCTATCTGGATGTTGCTGAGCCACATAAAATTGGAGAACCACCACAGAGCTTGCTTGGTATTGGTATGTGTATGTCAGAGCTTAGTAATATAGCATAATACTTTGATACCTAACGAAATGAAATGCTGGACTAACTGTTGGATGTATATGTGTTATGAGAGGTTGAGAGATTTATGAGAGTATGGGAATAGAGTGCTAGATATAATAGATGAGTGGGAATGAATGAAATCAAAGAGTTGTAGTTTCGTAATAGAGAATAGATATTAGATACACCAGTTGTATATGATAAATAGAGAAAAACATTAGATAAAATTAGATGAGAAATAATCTATTTGCTAATAGATTGAATATTTAAAATATCTATAAAAATAAATAATTATATAAGAAATAATTTTTATTAAATTTAAATAAAAAAGATATTAAATATATCACTTCTTTATCTTAATGTTATTAAATAAAATACTAATATATTGATACTTATATACTCATACAAATATTCTTATTATTAATGGGTTACCGAACTGATGAATACTCGAGGAGGTAATCAGATACGATGCCATTTGATTAGATTTAGATACTGATGATATAGATATAATATACCTAATAGATAGACTTACACACATCACACAAATTAAACCGCAAGAGATCTCTCCCCTAATATTAAAAGGTGTTGGCTTCTTGCTTCATTCAATAATGGAAGGTTGATACGAAATCATAAGAATCCATTCAAATAGGATGACATTCCTAAGCTTCTACCCCATCCAATCCATCCTGTTGACCATCAACATCCCAAAGCCATCTTCATAATAATGATCGAATGAGAATTTCCACTTCCATACCATATCGTCATATTATACAAAACCTTATGATTTGACGTTCCACAAATCCGTTGTCCATCCCGTTTCCTTCATTTTCTTACTATTTTTCGATGTCGTAGATCTCTTACTTCTACTTGATACGAGTAGAAGTTCTTTGCTTGCAGATGCAAGCGCGTTCACAAGTTCTGGCATTCTTCCGGTTTTGGAAAAGAGCTCCAAGAGATCAGAATTTTCATCCGCCAGGATAGTAGACAATTCCATGGAAGTCATCAAGTAATCACGAGTCAACACAGCTCCAGCCATCTGTAATGTTGCGATCCAAGCAAGAATAGTCTCAGGAAGATAGGTTTCTCGTATCCTTGCAAAATCGGGTTGTTCTAATAAAATATGTCAAAACCTTTGCAAATTTATAGAATAAAAATAGCTTACCTTGCAAACTTGTTGTCAACCATCCATTAAATAATGGCTCTGCACTAATATTCCCTGCCGGGAGGCTTTGACCTAACGCTCGCTTCATGGACCTTTTTATTTCAATGTCATCATCCCTGAGGTAACATGTTAGCGACAAAACTAAATCCAGATATCAAATAACTCACCCTTGCATCATAAAGAACATACCCCATGCACTCTCTATGTGATCCAAAGTCAAGGCTAATGTCTCAAGTTCTCTGAAACTCTTTGCTTGCTCCACCATATACTTTTTTAGGTATCTCTTCTTATCTGCTGAACCATCAAGAACTTCAGTCAGATCTTCATTCTCTTCCGATTCCAGACCCTGAAAATCGAGGCTTTCGCCTAACAATGCTCGAGTTTTACTCAATGCGATTTCGGAACTTGTTATTTCTTGAGATAAGGCGAGAGCAGCGGAAAGGTGTAGATTCTCTGATGAGTATTTAGCATTGAACGAGAAATCTAAGATTGAAAACTTACTATAGAACCGCTGATACAGCATTCTACCAACCATGAATGTTTCAGACCAAAGTCCATCTACAAGTAGATACCACTCTAAACTTCTGATGAGTAAAAGATCAATCCTATCAAGGGTCTTGGAATCCTGTTCTGTAAAATGCCTCCTTATCTTTTTGCCTCCCCTGCCATCATCTACCAGAACCTGAAACTCCTTAGGTGATGGATATCCTTTAGCTCCATCAGGGTGATCCGAGAAAAGAAACCTTGACTGATAGTTGACGAACTGTTGAACATCCAATCCTAACTCCCTCATCAATCTGATTTGGGTGACTCGTTGTTCATGATCTGTAATATCAATCAGAGTGCGACTAAGTGTGGCATATCTTCTTGCTCCAGAGAGTTGAGAACAATAAAGAGGTATGAGTTCCCCTTTATTTGCGAGACGTAGGAAACTAACGTATGCGACAATCACATTCTCGATGACAGATTCTTTGACTACACCACCAAAATTTAACCCAAGACCTCTAAAGATGAGTATAGCATGAGTAAAAACTCGCAAACTATCGTGATCACCCAAATTGACATAATTAGTAATGTCTTGATCTTTCGGTTGCTCATCCGTACGGGGTATCAAGTTCGAGGTGGTTTCCGCGTTCGCAAATTTTGACAACGCCAAACCTTGTTGATAGATGAAGTCTGCAAATTGTTCTCCAATCAACACACCTTGAAGCATTTTCATTGGTTGTGAGCTTTCTTCTGCCGTCCGTGCATCTGTCTTTAAGCTTTCAACAAGTCGTTTCCCAGCTATCGCATTATCCCCATGAAGGGCAACAGCATCAAGTGTCCCAAATGCCAGAGTTCCATTCATTAATGTTTGAGGCCCTGATTGGATGTAATTATCGAATTGTGTTCTCAGCAAGGCATTGTAATGTGTGAAAATTAAGTCATCCCATGATTGACACGCAGGTTCGACACTCGATATGTCGCCAGAGAGAATACCATATACTGCTCGTTCATATTCGTCATTTCCACCCTTTCGAGCAAGTGCAAAACACATGCGTCTCCAAAGAGCTCCAGATGCAATATCACCTTCCTCGGCTTCTTCTAGTGGCTTATCATCCGGCAAACCTGACATGCTGACTGCTCTCCATACTTCAGTTCGATCCATACACCATTCTCTAATTTCAGCAGGGCTTCTTCCTCGACGAAGCATCTGATAGCATCCCAACCAGATGGCACGCTCAAAGTACTCATCCTGTTTTTCCAACTTTCGGCCTTGACGTGTCACTGCATCGGGATCAAGCTGAGTGACCAGAGGTTCGGTTTTAGAAGAGTTCCACATGATTTTTTGAATCTCTTGAGAATTAGGATCGAGAGTTCGAGGCCAAGAATGCTGATTTTTCTGGAGTTTGATAGCAGCCTTAGTGTGTAACCAACCATGTGCGATGATGTCTCCTCTTTCGGCATTTTGTTGTAAATCTTGGACTAGGACGTCAATTTCATCTCCTGATTCTTCCGCCGTATCCTGAAGCCACCGGAGCACAGTTTTTCGTTCCAGTGCTAAATTATCAGTCTGTAGAAAACGATCCCAAGCCTCTCGTTCACTCGTATACTGGTTTATAGGTTCCTGCGGGGATTCAAACTCTTTTCCAGTATTTGGTTCGGGAAATCGTAGATGTGCCAATCTTTTAAGCAAGTCCCAAGTTTGCGCCTCTTGCTCCCAGCGAATTAAATCCTTTACGGTTGTCCTCGAACTTGTGATAAACTGATCCTCGTCATCCGAGTTCTCCATGTCCATCTCATCAGTGTCTTGTGCGATCTTGAAACCTCTCATCTTTTTCCTCCAACTCAAACCCTCCATCTTTCGGCGTTCGGATTCATGGCGATCTCGTAATTGATCCAGTGTGTCGAGAGCAGTCTTGTGATACAGTTCAATTAAATCGAATGCCATCTCTCGTCTCTCATCTCCATCTGCCACCCTCAAAGGATTATATCCATCTAGAAATTCCGCAAACTTCTCGACCTCATTTCCAACTCGATTCGCAGCATCTTGAAGGGGGTATAAGACGGCTTCAGTTTCTCCTGGACTTTCTATCATAGCAGGTTTTTTGTATCCAACCACTGAGAGAGATCAGTAGGTGCAAAGCGCACAATAATCATAACAATAACCAAGCATCACTAACCTTGATCTTGCTCTTCACCATAGCGCGACATTCCATCACAAGAAGAAAGGTCTTCAGAAAGTTCTCTTTCAAATCTTGATTCCGGCTGCGCGTAAAGGTTAGCATTCTTGAACGTTCTAGACTACATTCCAACGAAACCTACAGTTATCACCTGCCAACTTCCTTCTCGCAAATTCTAGAAATAGAAAGCTCAAATCAGCTTTAATGACAGTAGAATTCGGGCTATTCGCATTTACCTGAGACTTTGGTACACCCAATCCATTTGTATGATTGTTCATTACGGAACCGCGCGTTGACATGGGCGCCATATTCTTTAATGCGACACTTGGGAAAGGAAGAAACTAAGAAAGTAAAGGCACAATCTTGTTCAATGTTGACATTGCTTGCTTGGACCATTGATCAAATCCTCAAATTGTAGCTTTTGGCCTTGGGAACTTTTAGGCGCGTCCTTGTCCTGAAATGTCAGGGATTGTAAATTTTAGTCTCGATTTTAGCGTGATATCCAATTTGACGCTAAGGAATCTTCTACTTAAGAAATTTCCTCTCTGCAAATTGGTAAGTTTTTTCTTCATAAATGTCTTAACCGCCCTTCTAATTAGAGTCTCGAATCAAGCCTTCAATGTTTGGTTAGGTCCATAGGGATCTCTTTGCGCGCTCATGATCGGCCATATTAACGACTCTTCCTGTTTCCGTTACCTGACCTTTTCGAAGGTGTGAAGGATGGCAGTAAACTTGGAGAGTTACATCTTTTCGTAAGCTCAACTGTAGTGTTTGATTATGCGTATGGTACCTTGACCCTTGGATGACTGAATGTGCCGGTGAAATGACTGGCAAGAGTGATGTTACATTCGTGGTATCATGCATGCTATGGAAGTTCTAGTACAAATGGGTGGATGTGAAGAGCCCTCATCCTTCAGCCTTCATGGCCATTGCGAACGGCTGAGTCTATCATCATGACTGCCTTTCATGGCCTCCCTTATGACTGCTTCCCTCCCGATCTCTGTTTCATCTTCAATCTCAATAGATTTGCCTTGGGACAAGAGACAGTCTTTGCATCATCACCATTCTCCGCATAAAATGCATTACAGCAATCATATAGAGCATCAACCTGTGATCTACACTTTTCTTCATTGTAACTGTTCTTTGCCAGACACTCTGTAGTGTAAACATCAGTCAAAGTTCCCAGTCAATCTTGAGCGAAAGATGCTAGCTGACCTTGAATAGCACACTTCATTCAAATATTGTCAGCTTTTGAATATCTAGAAAAAGTAAAGTCGAATGGTGTAACATACAGCTTTAGAATGGCAAGGTTGCTCTGTGGTTGTATCATTTTTGGGTGGCTAAAATTCCAAACCCATCAGTATCAAGTTCAGAAAAGCAACACGATAGAAAAGATCACCATATTCAATTGGCCCCTATCGTGAATCTTTGGTTCAAATATGATATATAGCTGTAGGATAATCTCTTTCAAACAAATAGATGGAACCTTGTTATAAATTCATTGATTCTCTTAGGATCTTTTTATATCCAAGAGGCTACAGTGTACTGTAGAACACCAATCAGAACCCCTCCATACTTCTTCTCTTTCCTTTTGTGGTACTAATCTTAGCGTCATCAGCCAAAGCGTGAATTTGACTTCTCTTCCTCACGATTTCTAGTTCCTTTTAACCCTTCAATCCCGACAAACTCATAACTTTTCCACATATCTCAAAAGTAGATCTACTACTTCAGAACAAATCCAGTCCTGTAAGTTTACTCACTATATTATAATCCTCTTTATTTCACAAACTAACCCGTCACCATCAGCCTCGAATTCACAAGTACCCCACGACATTCACCAACCCATTTTCCAAATAGCCTCAATCTCAAAATGTCCGACAACGAAGGAAGCCCAGCTGGCGAGAAGCCCGAAGCCCCCGTCTCCGAGCACTTGAACATCAAGGTCACCGATAACAATAATGAAGTCTTCTTCAAAATTAAGCGCTCAACCCAGCTGAAGAAGTTGATGGATGCTTTCTGTGAAAGACAAGGCAAGGCACCAAACTCTGTTCGATTCCTTTTTGATGGTAGTCGTGTTCAAGCTACAGATAGTCCGGATAAGGTATGTTGTCATTTTTATACTTTATGCAGTGTTGGACTTTTTTTATCTGATGAAAGATATTCTTGCGCCATTGTGTCGCATCACTTTCTACTAACACATTTCACTGTAGTTGGATATGCAAGATGGCGACACTCTCGAGGTTCATCAAGAACAAATCGGTGGCCAATAAGCCATCCCTTTCTCCTACATTCAATTCACACGACGAAACGATACCTTAACAATTCGACATGCGCACAATGGGGACGGGCGAAATGGTACCAGGGCTTGGGATAGCTTGGGAGATGACAGAGAGCTCAGAGTAGGGGGAAGAATGTGTATTGCTGTGTTAGCAGTTAAATATGGAGTTAATATTTAACTGCTAACAAAGCGAAAACAATCTTTTGATCAGGGCTATTTTTTTCTTGTGTTTGGGGGACGACTCGTCAATTTTACATCTCCATATTGGCGCGTTCTAGGCGGGCGTCAAATAGTGTTTCTTCATACTTCGAGCATATCTTCTGGCTGCAGTCAAGGAGGGTGGGAATCTAGATGCTTGTTTTCCTTAGGCCGAAAAAATTGAAGATGTTCTCTAATTATGTTGGGTTTCTGGTGTGTACTCTGGATGTGTGATATTTACACAATGTATTTCAAACATAGGCTCTTTTGTTGTCTGCCACAATGGTCCTTCAAATACACCCTTTCACACAACGAGGTCCTAACATAACTTCTCCAAATCCTACCTAGGCACTGAATGACCTAACACCCTGAACATTTATTATCAACAATCTCACTCTTTCAACCACGACTGACTCCCCAAAATCATATTTACTCATACGCACACTCATATTATACTATACCTACTAGGTAGTACTATATAGGTATAAACTTTTACATGATACATGATACATGATATAATCAATCAATCAGTCAGTCAGTCAGTTAGTTAGTTAGTTAGTTAATTAGTTAGTTAATTAGTCGGTTAATTAATTAGGTTAGTATGTGTATATATTTCTAATATGAATTCTCTCTATTATATAGAACGATTGATTTATAGGTATTGTAATTTTATTTGAGATTTATCCGTTGTTGTTTTTTGGTTTTGTTTTTGTGGTTGTGTGATTATTGAATTTAGCCATTGTAAGATGAAGATATGTAAGATGTATTAAGATGAAGACATATATTTCTCTTTCTCTTTCTCTTTCTCTTTCTTGTGGGTGTTTATTTTTTTATTTATTAGAGCTGATACTACTAGCTAGGTAGGTAGGTAGATATATATTTATGTATTGGAATTGCTGGGATTGTTTTCTTGATTTAACATTATGGTGTAGAGTGAGTGGGTTTGGTCAGTTTGGTGGGTTTGGTGGATATAAGGATGGGAGAATGGGAGGATGTGGAAGATAGATGTTTGATCTACTTCTTGCTTTGAGCTGTAGCTCTAGCCCTGACTCTCATTCCTGTGCAATAGAACTTCCAGATCCAACCCATCTCTTCCCTATACCTTCCCTCCCCCCCGCAGCCAGTCTAATCGCATCCCCTAAAACCAATCATCCATCCACCCACCCCTAAGAATCATCCCTCAATCATCCCACGCACCCCTCTTCTTCCTCTCTTCCTCCTCTTTCCTTCTTCCTTCTTCCTCCCTCTCCTCTTTCCTCCTCCTAACCTCCTTCTCCCGCTGCACCCGTTCATATTCCCTCTGTTCCTCTGTTTTCTTCGGCGCTCGCACACCTAATGCTCCTGCGATTAAACGTCGCGCTACTGCGTCTGTTTTTTCTTGTCTGCGTTCTGGGGCGCGGGAGGTTTGTGATGGTGAGGAGTAGGAGGAGGGACCAGGGTAGCCGTAGGGATTTTCGAATTCGATTGTTTGGGTGGTGGTGAGGGGCTTGGATTTGGAGGTGGAGGATGGAAGGATATCCTCATTACTTCCCTCAGGTGGAGGGGATATAGGTGTAGGTGGTGGAGCGGCAGGAAATGAAGAAGTGGGAGAAAGTGGATTGGATGTGCTTGTTGGTACTGAAGTCTCGCCTCCGGTTTCAGTTTCGGTTTCGGTGGAGGAGGAATCGGAAAATTCGTCCTCCCAGGAGTCGGCTATGGGGGTTTTGGTTTTCTTTGTGGTTTTGGAGAGGGGTTTGGTGGTGGAGGAGGGATTGATGGAGAGGCTGTTGAGGGTCGTGGATAGCTCATTTGCGGAGCTTGCCATGTTGGTGGTTGATGTGATGTGCTGTATGAGTATTTGGGAATTTAATTCGTTTCAATGGCAGGAGTTTGAGGAGTAGTGTGAGGGTATTGATATTCCAGGGCGTAAAATTAATGCTCGTAGTATATATATTAAATGATCAAACCAACTCGTTCAATATTCCAGAATGGAAAAAATAATGAACCCCGCAGTGTAGTATCAGTTTAGCTTTATAAGTACTGAAATATGTAAGTATGGATGAAAGTTTTTGTTTGGTTGAATACTTAGTAGTTACAAGACTTGATGTTAAATGCGCATTAGTAAGTATATGATGCGCAACTCGAGTAAGACTTAACTTGGTAGTCTCTCGCTCATGAATCGTCACTGCCTTGGTAGATATGTTTGAGGTCGGCATTTCTCCGGGTATCGAGCTAGAAGCTAACCCAAAATGATTTCTTTACATGATGGGACTGGGGGTTGGTTTTTAGCTCAATTGATCAAATGTTTACTTGAGGATTACTTACTAGGCAAAATACATTGAGCTGGAGGATCATCTGAGAAGAATTGTTTATTTTATCTTACTTTACAGATTAGGGATATTTTGCCCATTCCGTTTTGTACAAGAGATGACAGAGTTGAAAAAGAGGATAACTCCGAGACTTCCATGCACGTTCGTGGTTTTTTGAACCATGGCCTGCAGCGGGTTTAAGTGAAGCCAGGTTCATCGGGGTTTTATTTCCGACAACCACCCACCTAAACAATTCTAAGGTTTGAGGTCTGAGGTAAAAACTTGTGATTACTTCGTGAACATTCATATTGATCTTTCTTTTACAATTCATTCGCTTCATTCTATATCTTGTCTTTTGATTGTACATAATAGATACAATTCTGTCCTTCTTGAACAAGAATAAGATATGATACGATCAAAAGCTCTCACGCGGGGTAGATGCGGTTACTCCAGTACGAGGTCTTTGAAGTATTTTGTGAAAAATGGTGTGTATGAGGATAGATATAGTCAAACAATTCAAAATTTGAAGATTGGAAGTCATACGAGAGTTATCTTTCAAGGTTTTACAGGTATGGTGATTGGATTGTCGGTTTTTTTAACATGCATCATAGCTGTCCATGACTGACTGACCTGGTACAGGTAAACAGGTGAAGTTCCTGAAGTTAACATCATCAATCATCATCCACTGATTTTATCTTTCATCAAGGCTACAGCAAATGCAAAAGAATCAATAGAATGGGGAACTAATATAGTTGGTGGTGTGACGCCCGGGAAGAACGGAGAACACCTGGGATTACCGGTACTACCTACTGTAAAAGAGGTAAGTATATCATGACTATGATGAATATGACATTCAAACTAATATCTAAAATCAGGCAATGGAGCAATTAAAACCAGATGCAACTGGAATATATGTAGCAGCCCATCAAGCACCAGCCGCCATTGAGGAGGCAATTGAAGCAGAAGTTCCTCTGATTGTAGCCGTCGCTGAACACATTCCTCTTCATGATATGTTAAGAGTATGATCATATGACTTTCCACTCAAACAGAACTGACATACTCAAGATACATAATATACTAGACACTCAATCAAAAAGTCGATTGGTTGGTGCAAATACTCCTGGTATTATATCAGCAATTGGAAAATGTCGAATTGGCTTCCAACCACTTCCTTGCTTCACACCTGGTCGTATAGGTATTGTTGCCAAATCAGGAACTTTAAGCTATGAAGGTAAGATCTTAGGCTGAAGGTCCTGAAAATTACTAACGATTTAGCCGTCGCTTCAACAACTAGGGCTGGACTTGGTCAAAGTCTCTGTATTGGAATGGGTGGGGATATTTTGGCTGGTACTGATTTTGTTGATGCTTTGAAGATTTTTGAACATGATGATGATACTGAAGGTATTATTATCATTGGTGAGATTGGTGGTGAAGCGGAACTTAAGGCTGCAGCTTGGATTGAGGAGTATAGGAAGCGCTCGTTAAATCCCAAGTAAGATTCCTAAAGACCATCTTAGATTCTACTAATCTTTTATAGACCTATCGCGGCACTGGTAGTTGGTAATCATGCTGTGCCTGGTAAGGTTATGGGTCATGCTGGAGCTTTCACTTTACCCGGGGAACCAGATGTATTAACAAAGATCAAGGCTTTTGAGAATGTAGGAGTTACCATGGTTAATCATCCAGCTAAATTTGGCAATGCTATGAAGACCTTGTTGGGGGATTCAGGACGATCAAGCAACGGCCTGGCTACAAGTAGTGTTTCTCAAAAGCGAAACATGCATACAATGAGGATACGATCAACATCAAGAACTTCAACTATAAACATGGTGCAGAAAAGAACCATTTACCTCAAAGAGGAAGATGCCTTTAAATTACTCGACCAAAAAGGAATTTCCCGAAGACAAGATCCTTCAAAAAAAGATCCTTCAAAAAAAGATCCAGTTCACCACCACCTTACTATTGGTATTGATCGAAGTAACCGCTGTCCGCAATTTATATTACAGGAACTGGTCAAGAAGAATGAAATCCCTTCCAAACCGATAAAGATTCCCTTTCAATACGACCTAGGTATCACGATTGGCCTCAGACAAAAGTGCGCCACTCATCTCCAATTGGTATCTCAACATAAATTGTTGCATCCAATTATCGCTGGTCTATTTGAACTCTTCAAAGGAAAAGAAGCCTTTCTTCTTGAAACCACCATAAGAAGAGGATCCCCATGGAGAACAAAATCTCAGCGCAGACTATCAATTGAACACGCAAATTTCGGTTTCGACGATGCCGCCTTCAAAAGCGCAAATCGTCACTCTGAAATTCATTCCCTCCCTCAGGCAGATATCCAAGATCCTGCTGAAACAGAAGCCCAAAAACATGGTATAGTATACATCAAACTCGCAGGCGATGGCAATATCGGAACACTAGTCAATGGTGCAGGATTAGCTATGAATACTGTAGATGCATTAGCGGATGCAGGAGGTAAAGCTGCGAATTTCTTGGACACTGGGGGAAAAGCGACGGCGGAAACGGTGAAGAAGAGTTTCAAGGTTATTTTGGGGGATGAGAGGGTAAAAGTGGTTTTTGTTAATATTTTTGGAGGCTTGACTTTAGGAGATATGATTGCTGAGGGGATACTCTTGGCGTTTAGGGAGTTGGGGGTGGAGGTTCCTGTGGTGGTTAGGATTAGGGGGACGAATGAGAAGGAGGGGCAGAGGATTGTAAGTTTGAATATTTTTTTTTGGTTTCTTTTTTGGCTCGTGATTGTGATCGTTCTATGGTTCCTAGGAAGGGCCGTGTAGAGAAGGAGAAAGAGAGGAAGAAGAAGAGCGGAGAGGTACATGACGTGCTAACTGACATTTCCTTAACATTATAGATTGCCGAAAGTGGATTACCACTATACGCATATGATGATTTTGACGAAGCCGCAGCAAAGGTGATAGAATTAGCAAATTCAAGCGACTCTTAGAACTGCCCAGTCTTTTTACTTCGACTTTTAAATAGAAACAAATTAAACTCCCATCACGAAAATTGCAAATCGAACTTTAGTGTCCGAGTATTGATGACAAGAGGCGCAGGATTTGTAAGAACTCAGCGCGCTAGATAGTTCCACGTCTTTCTGTGGTTGTGCTGGTGATTAGAATGCGAGTGGTATATAATTACGGTGTTTTGGAATTTTGAAGTTGGTTTTAGGATGAAGGTTGGAAGCCAAAAATCGGGATACACAGGATTAGATGGATTTGAAAAGTGGTTGGGATATGAGTATAGGTAGGTATGATTAGACTATCCTTTCCGAGTATGAGTAATATCTGATGTTTTTGTATGTCAGTTTTAGATATTGGTGACTTTGTATTTTTATTAATTCTAGATATAGAGATATAGATATAGATTTAGATGAACGGCATTTTTTTTGAGGATATCATAGTGTATAGATATATGATGGTAGGTAGTGTTTAAGCGAGAGTTTTTGGTTTCATAGGGGAAGGTATTTTTATATCAATGTTAATGGGTTGTAAAAGACTTTCTAAGATTTTGGAGGGGGAAGAACGAAGTGGAGATTGAAGGGGAAATAGAAGACCTTGTTAGTGCAAGCTATTGCGAGCTATTGCGTCATTGTTAAGCTCATGCGTCTTCATTTGACCATTGCTGGGGAGATCATACTAGGTATCTAATATCTCTCCTTGCCTCTTTTTAAAAGACTCAGATCTTGCAATATCAACTAATTAATGTATTTAGAAGTCCAATAGAAAGACTAAAGGTTGCGGGAGGTCTTTAAAGTGCTTTTTCCTCTGTTCTACTTGAGTATATGATTTGTGTTTGGGGATATGGTTGGCTCTGTGGAGTATGTATGTATGCTGGTGGTATCATGTGGTTTGGTGATGGTTATATCTACTGGGTCTTTGGAATGAAGAGCTCCTTTCGATTTGCGATTTATCCCCAGATTCATTTTATTTGTGGATCCTCAAAAAGAAGTTGATAATATTTAGTGTAAGGAGGTATCGTCTTATACACGGTATATTCTATCTCCAACGAAAATGTCTGGAAATTTCACAATTTGTCGCATTGCATAGCCACACCTAACCCCCGTAAGCTCCTTGAGTTTGAGGAGAGTTCAGGTTGGACCCGGGATTTCGGAGCGAGATACAATATCTCAAATATAGAGAGACAGCGGCTTTTCGAGGTCAATCAGAGCATCATAACATTCATATGCTCGTTCTAGTCGGGTGTCAATATATACAGTAGCCAATATATCTTGGCAACAATACTCTGGTCAAATGGTCTTGTCTTCCCATGCTGTAAATCTTGCACAGTCGCTAAATAATTCGATAAAGCACCTCATGTATTGAATTAGAGAATTTGATTCTTTTCTCCTCCAGAATTATTATGCGGACTTGAGCCGCATGTTCAGCACATATATCTAATATAGAATAAACCTTCAAGTACTTGAGTATCCACTGTATAAGGTTGATATCCACAGGCGAGATCAAATTCCAGTCCTGGGGTTCTAAGTTTGGAATTGAAATCTGACACCGAGAATCTCTTTTGATATTATACCATTACTGGATTAGACTAAATATAAATACACTATAATGTTCTAGAAATCTATGCAGAAGCACGTAGAAATATGAGAAACTCATTTTATAGTGTATCTTAGATATGTAAATTGTTCTCAGAATCCAAGTCCCATTTTTGATAGTAACAGTACATGATTTTGAAACCTTGACCGGCAAGTATTAGCTCAAATTTCACCACAAGGGCTACAATTTGAAGCTTGAATTTGTGAAACTTTTTATGAATAGCCCTTGAAGCTATTCCGAAGTTCGAAGCTACGATGCTCGATTTTCTGTTTGGGCTTGTGAAACTATCGAAACATTGGATGAAATTTCAAATTTCAACTTCATCAAAGTTCAAGTTTTAGTTCTCAGATATTCAAAACTATCAACTCACAATTTATGTTATCATTTCGTACTTTAACTATACAACCTAGCGTCTTATATACAGCTTAAGAATCATGCAATTATGCATCTGAAGTTCTCCTAGAAAAATGCTGCTATACATTGTCGCAGAACAGTAATCATGCACGACAGTAGGGGGCTGACCCATATTGCCAACATTTACCCCGCGCCCGCCGTCCCCGCTGTTATGAATTAATGATTTACGCATGACCATAGGCTTACTGCCCCACATTAACACATCCATAAACACTTGTACAGCTCATCAATCCATAACTTTCACATGTGTTAGGCTGAAAGATTTCCCAGAAAACCGAGCATTTCCATCGTTTTCACTTGAAAGCTTTCCGACAATTTCTCATTTCTTGGGCTTGTAGTGCGGTCGAACGAACCTGAAATTTCCTAACCTACTTCTTCAAGCTGTATCTTATAAACCTTGGTCTTTATTGGCTGTTAATACTTCCATTCGGCAAAGTAAATATGCGACTACTCAGTACGGAAGTTACGGATTCCTTTCAGCTAAAAGAATTTCTTTAAAACAATCTCCCCGCCTACGCTATTCTTTCTCACAGGTAGGAGGAAGATGAAGTGATCTTTGAAGATATTACAAAGAAGGTATTTAATCAAAAGGAAGGGACCTTTGAAGACATAGAAAAGGAGGAATTTAGTCATAAGAAAGGGTTTCCAAAACTTGAAGGATGTCTCAAACAAGCCATGCGGGATGGACACGAATGGATCTGGGTTGACACTTGTTGTATTGACAAATCGAGCTCCGTAGAACTCAGCGAAGCTATCAACTCAATGTATCAGTGGTACCAAAACTCTGCCGTTTGTTACGCATACCTATCAGACGTAGAAGAGATCGGTTGTGTAGGGAAAAGTCAATGGTTCACTCGTGGATGGACAATACAAGAACTTATAGCACAGCGTCACGTCACTCTCTTCGATAAGCAGTGGCGCTCACTTGGAAAAAAGGATAAGCTTGCACAGGAAATTACACAAATCACAAACACCCCTAAAGATATTATACTAGATAAATATCCAAACCATTGCAACCTTGCTCAGCGAATGTCATGGGCTTCCAACCGAAAACTACTCGAGAAGAAGATATGGCATACTGCTTGATGGGACTATTTGACGTACACATGCCGCCGATATATGGAGAGGGATCTGAAAAGGCTTTTCTTCGACTTCAGCAAGAGATCCTTGGACGGAATTCAGATCAAACTTTGTTTTTGTGGAACCCGTCTCATGAACCGTACAATCAGGGTCTGCTAGCAACTTCTCCAGGAGAATTCTGCACCCATTACAGATGCTTCAATTGGCTAGATGGTTTCGTGCCAGCTAGAAGAGAAATGCCCCTCGACAAAATCCCGGATAATCTAAATCCATACCATCTATTCATTCCGATGAAGCACACGCCTGGTAGCCGCCTATATATCAAAGGAAAGTTTTTTGATAGTCCAGGAGTTGATGTGCAATCTAATTTTGGGTCTAATGGCCTAGAATTACAGCTTCTTTCCTACGGCAGACATCAAATTCAAAACAACAAGGAACGACGAGAGAGGATTTTCGTGGCCTTCGACATCTCCGTACAGTCTTCTGAGTCTCACACCAGCGTCTCCTTGGTACTGGAGCAGGACACGGACCCAAATGCAGAGTTTATTTTCGATCGAATGGGAGCTATGCGACGAGTAATTTGCACGGAAAAAGCTTCCAAGCCTCTATTAGCGTCGGTGTGTCGTCAGAAAGGAAATTGGTTTTAATTTCTCAGATACCTGTATCGGCGCCTGGTAAACCTGCCATGTTCAAATTCAGTGCCCCATTCCCTAAAATAGTGTCGAATGAAATCGTATCGAATGAAACCGTGTCGAATGAAATCGTGATTTGGCAAGCGGCAGAATCGGAAAGCCTCTTATGTTCTCCAACTAAGGCCTTTGAGTGCATCGGCGGTGTCGCTTTAATTAATCATGATGTGAAAAAATGAATGAAGTCCAAAAACATATCCTGGCATTTGGAACTCGAGCAAGACTTTCACCCATATGAACCTCTTTAATGACAACTGTACTACGACGGCTACCATCAAGCGCCGCGTCACATGATTAACTTAGGGTAACGTGACCTTAAGTCACGTTACGGACCGCTAGGGAACGTTGGCAATCCAGGATTGCTTATAGACACGAAGAACTATATAATCAAGATGGATTTCCTTACTATAAAGTTTCATATTCAAAATCAATCATTTAGTATAATCTATTATTAGTTACGAATTATAATTATTCACTGTTGTTACCTAAGTCCCTATTTGACACCTAGTTATAAACCACCTCGAAAGCCTAGAACACTTCCACGTGATCTAGACGGCAAACCTCGTAACAAACTGATACTCATAATATAACTGATCTATTCGTCAAAAAGGGCTATGGCGAATTGAGCCTTCTCAATTCTAGATATTATGAACATGCAGCCTTTTTCCTGAAAGATTGCAAGCACACAATATGTGTGGATATTCGTTATGATCCAACTGGCAATTGTCATCTCATTCATGTAGGAGCAACTATGGATTATCTTTATCAAGACAAATAGTTCAACTTCTGAGGCATCAGGTGCTAGCGTCCGAAAAACTCCTATAACCCAAAGGAAGCTCCTCGATGAAAGACATTTGTGTGTGATAATTCGATGGAGTATCACTTCTGTTATAGTTGGATTATTTTAATCTATCGATTGAAACTAGAGAGGGAAATGAACCTGAGAATCGTGGTATCAACTTAGTGGGAGAAGAAACTGATAGCTTGAACTAGAACTTTTTTTGGAATTTTTTTTCCTTTGTTACCCTTTTGAACTTTGCACTATATCATCCATTTGGAAATATTTCGGGCTTTATCAGGACTCAGGACACAGAATGATTAACTAATGGATAAGGGTTTTTGATTTCTGTTTTTTTGTCATATAAAGAAGCTAGTTGGAGTTCATTGATAGTGTTATTATATATCACTTCGTGCTGTGCAGCTCGCATACAAGTACTGACAAAAACATTGGTAAAGCGGGACCTAGCTCTTAGAGACGAACTCCTAACTTTAGGTTCCATTAGATTTGTTTGTATTGCTAGGCTTATCTTATGCGCAGTTTGTACTAATCATATATAAGTCAAACACTTCACAAATTATAGAAGGTTGATGTGTCAATGAGTTGTGGCGCTAGGTAGTAACAGATACCTGGTCGAGATCGCACCATTGATACACTTGGAATCAACATAGCTTCTATCTCTAAACTTCTAGCAGTTTCTGTCCTCAAAAGTACCAATATTGAATAATGGTGGTAATTGAATACTACGTAGTAGCCAGGATTAGAATGAATTTAAGGAGATGGTTGCTAGGAGTCTCATTGTTTGTGTTCATAGACTTTTACTTGTGGTTTGGTTGTATTCCAGCGCTACAACTTTACTTACCGTGTCCTGCTCAATAATCAATGTAATCTTTCCAGCACTGAAGGCTCTCATCTTAATGTTCCTGGATAATTTCCTTGCTCGATATCTCGTCAGAACGAGAAGACCACTTTCTTGAAGGTGTTTCATTGAAACCTTCCGCGTGCCTAAGTAAAGGTTTGAATTTTATTGCGTTTAGTTCTTAGATAATTGGCCACAGATGAGAATACTATAGTGCATATCTCGATAAGGAGCTTGTTGGGACTTTGGTAGCCTTATTTATTCTGGTTTCCCATCACTTTTCCACCAGAAGCTTTTTGTTGGAAGTTATATTCATACCTCTGCTACTGTATATTTTGCTATTGTCTCTGGTTATTAGCCCTGTTGGCTTGTTGCTTCTTACCTTCATGTTCATAGGGACAAGTGTATTTTCGTACGGGTATTGTTTGTAAAAGAGAAGGGGTATGTATAACGGAATAAACGAGGTGGAATGTATATTGGTGGATATCTAATCACCGCTGCATATGGAGAAACGTGGTGAGATCATAGCTTTTTTTCTAAGAGTTTTCATTAGTCACGATACTTGCAAATCGGTGGGCCGTCTAAAAAGGGGTTGGGATCAAGTAATACAACAGATCTGAACCACGGAGAGGTTTGAAATGAATCTTGTCATACAGGCTAGTGCGCGAATAAAAGGTCGTAGGCTTGGAGTTAATGTTTAGAGTGTGCCGGTCATGGAATCCTGCATTGTTTCGTGACCGTGGTTTTGCGGGATCGGTAAGTCACTACATTACGTTTTTCCCAGTGTATTCATGACTAATTCTTGTTGCCGTGCAATTTTCTCGCTATGATGCTATTTAGAAGCCCATCACTCACCAAGAAAAAATAAAAGGCCTTTTCATAAGCTCCGCAATTTAAACATTGGAACTGTCTAAATATCGAGAAGAATCCAAGGATTTGATTCCAAAAAAAAATGCGTGGTAAATATATTGAGAGGAAAAATGCGGTTAAGCATCTTGAAGTTATTCCAGTGGTACATTTATAACTTCAGAGTTATATGGGATTCATTATATAGCAGTACCTTGATGATCAAAGCTTGTGGTACCCGCCGAGTATTATGGAAAGTGAATCTCAGCACATTCTCTTTTTCTGTCATAATTCTATAGAAGAATACCTGCTAATTTCAATATAAATTCAACACCCTTCTATTCAATTAAGACGTATATATTGTCAAGAGCTCTTCAACCATACCTCAACTTATATGTGTTACCGGTGTTATTCATAGGGGACGTTATCATGCTTCAAGCCCACATCGGTAAGCGAGGACGTTCATATGCAGTTTATTGTCATTGGAGACCCTAGTCTATTTGCAGTTACAATGGGATATCCTCAGCCATGCATTCGCATCTAATGGTTCACCTTAATTCTCTATGCAAAACATCGATTCTTTGCTGATACATTTTTTACAAAGTGGCATGTATGAAGCATTTATAGACACACGAGGAGAGATGAGAGCACGAAACCCACTAGGCACAGGAAGGAAGAGTGAATGCAAGCACTCAAGCTTTTACCTACAATCCATAAAAGCTAATCATCAACAAATCTTACCCGAGTACGTCATTTAGGCGAGAATTACCTCAATTTTCATACCTTAATTCTGCTAGCCTTGGGATATCGGGTGGAAGATGTAATATTTAATCTATAATTTTTGTAACCCATGGAAATGAAACACAGTCACTGTAGTTACAACATCAGTTCTTCTGGCTATAGTACACACCAATAATCTAATTATGGTATGAAATCTCGTTAGACGGATGATATTGTAATTGCAACCTTTCTTTCGAGCTCCTGAACAGGTGATTGAAACGTCAAGGTGGAAGCAATCTGCTCTTGGGGCTTAGCAATGGATTTATTTGCCATTTGAATACTAAATTGTTGCAACTAGATTAGATTGTCGCAAATGCGGTACATTCGGGCATCCTTTAATGTTACGGAAAAGAGGTGCTATGATACTGTGTATTATTCGACGTGTTTTAGTCGCACCATCAGAAGTCGCAGACGCCGTAGTTTATTTCATCCATCATGCTACTCCGAGATTTGACATGAGCCACCGCTCAAAATTCACTTCATCCCTCAGATTTAAGAATATAAAGTAGCTATATTTACCAGATTGCACTCGAAAGATTCGGAAAACACTTCATTGAAAGATCGTGCGATAGATTTCTTTATAGCCCGAGGAAAATGATATTCCTAATGGAGACTATCATTGATACAGACGTGTTTTTTTCTATGAAGTATTACTGGCTCAGAACATGCGGTAAAATCTAGAGGAATGCAGCTCGGCCGGAGATGTTGATATGTTCTACACAATTACAACCCACGATCTGAACAGACAAGATCCCCGTTTTATATAGCTTTAACCTATGACGGAAATGCCTCTTATGGCTGCAGTACAGGTATAATAAAAAAAATCGTAAGCATAAAAATAATTTTCGCCAAATTTAAAATCACAATTAATCAAGCGATCAATGATATTGTTGACTACATATCCTACAGTAGTTGCGCACAGCTGTTCGTCGTTAATCAAAATCACATCAAAAATCAACATTTTACTATATTTTTAACTAAAGAAAAATCCTATATTAAACCATTATAATTAATTAGAAAATTGAACTACATATTAATTATATTATAAATAATTAATATTTTCAATTTTTATTTATTTAATTAAATTCCAATATCATATTTTATATTATCAAAAAAATTGTTTTAGAAAAAGTTCACGATTTTCACTTATTTTACTAATAAAGTTTTACATTTTGAAATTCTTATAATTCAATTTGAAAAATAATAAAAAAGAAAAAATTTCAAAAATAAATTATATAATTTTTTATAAAATTAAAATGAAATAAATAAATTGGTAATAAAAAATTTCACATTTTATTAGTTTTAAAAATAAAATAATTTAAGTGTTTTGTATGAGCTTTGGTGTGATTTTAATGAACGACGAACAGCTGTACACGGTTATTATAGATGCTGTTTTCAAAAATCGTAGTCACTTACAACATTTAATCTCGCAAACTAAGCTCCACATTATTTCATATGTAAAGATCTCGCAACCTTCTCTAAGGATGATTTAATTCACGGTAGATACATATATCAAATTTACTTTGTAGAATTGTTCCTCCGTCCTAACGCTGGTCAGAAAAGGGGCTCGCTTAACGTGGCGATCAAGCAGGAGCCAAATGTCTGTCTTGGTATAGAGTATGTATTGCTCTTACGATCTAAAATTTCTACGACCCCGATCTACATATAAAATATCGTGTTGCTGATATTTAAATATGCAGTGTTGAAAGCGTTTACTGGCAGGGAGAGTAGTAGTGTAGTAGTCACAATCATTCCGGTTCTGAAAGGCTTGGATCCTCGTTCCGATGACTAAAGTAGCTATCGATATTAAATTTCTCCGAAATAGTGATTTTAAATTACGCCAGACACTTCATGAGCCATTTTTTCCTAGAGGAGCAAGCTGTTTACCAACTTCTCACTTCATATGGGATATGGGAGAATATCGTGAAATAGGT